AAAAAAAAAATCTTATTTTAATATATATGTCATATCACTTAATCTTGGATTAGGATGGTATTTGATAGGTTACAAGTAAAAAACATGAGAGAAAACAAGTGCAGAGGTGGGATCAAAACAGAGAGACCCAAGCCTTGCTAATGTTTCCTTTCACTGTTCACACAATACCACTATACCCTAAACATTTTTTGCAACTGCTACAGCTTGCTTTCTTTGTGAACTTAGAATGAGAAACCAGGAGAAATGAGAACATTTGCTGACAAGGAATAACTTGCAAAATAGATTTTCCTTTGTTCTTTTTGTTTTAATCAGACTTCATTCACCCTGATTCCATGAAACAACATTATTAAACAGCTGCCTATTATTTTGATTAGTTGAATTAGGTCACGAGGAATAACATAAAATATTGCCCCAAGCATTCAGCTTAGAGCAGCAAAACTTGAGAGTGCTAGAGGGGAAAAAACCCAACCTGTAAGAGCTGTAGCCCAGTGTTACTCCCTCTCACAAGCAGGTAGTTACTCAGGATATGCATCATTAGGAACCAAAAGCAAGTCATTCCTTAGGTTGTCTTCAGTTCTCTGCTTGAAAAATTCACTAACCAATGTAATTAATCATCTAACTCTTCTTTCAGGTAAGTGAAAGCAATACAGCATAAAGCACTTTTAATGAATACGAAGGATGCATTGAAAAATGAATATATCAGCAACAGGGTTGACTTTGGAGACTACATCTAATTTTTTTTTTTTTTTAATATAATGTATTTTTATCTATGGTATTTTTATGTTTTCCTTTTCTGGGCATTTTGTTTGTTCTTGCTCCTTTTTCTTTTTTTGACTGATCAATTAATAATTGAATCATAATAATCAATGATAAAATCAAAATAAGAACAAGTCTTTAGATAAGGTTGTGCCAGTCTGTATGATCCCATGTGTTACTGTGATAAAACCTACCCCCTCCTGTTACTCATTTGAACCCAATTTAAGACCTGAAGTCAAAGGAAAATTCCCCTCTAGTTGCTGTTCAGGTCTATTTTAAGGCTGAATACTTTCCTGAAATTACATACCCATATCAGGTCCCTAAACCCTGAAATCTGTAAATTTTGGCAGAACAGAACCATTTAATTATAAAAGAAAGTTCCAGTGTTCTTGAGCAGTGTTCACAGTCTATGGTGGTGCAGCACACAGCTAGAATTAGCACAGCACACAACCTGTGAGGTCAACAACAATTTCCTCCGTTATAAAAAATTAGGTGTGCCACTTGCATCCCGGCAACATAGCAAAATTGCAAAACTGATTCCTCAGGTGGATAAAGCTTCCACCCAATTAATCTAATTTTTTACAGTGGTTCAAAAGCAATCTGTTTTAAATGAAAAAGTAATGCTGCAATACTATGTTAAGGATCTGATCTGGCTCTCATCCATGTTTAGGTCAACTCACTGTTTCATGGGTCTCAGAGCAAGGCAAGAGTACTCAAATATGTTGCAGATTATAACAAAGGGCCAGCAAAGAACAGAATGTCTGCTATGTATACACCTACCTTGCTTTATTCACTTCAGCTAGACCTTCACAGCTCTTATGTTAGGTAGCCATTTTAATTGACTTTTTGATGATATTTTTTTTTTTAAGTGATGGAAGGAAAGCCTTTCACAAACATATCTTTCCTCTTATCTGAGCATGGTATTGATCACAGAATTTGGTCTGCTAAAGACTTAAATTCTTCAAGAGCCAGTCAGCCACACAGATCCAGCATATTCCATCAACTTAACACTTTATGCTGAATTCAACAACGTTAAAGAATAATGCTCAGCACACATCAGAAGCTCTTTACGCAGCTGCAAAGGAAAATTAATTTGAATCCAGCAACTTACCCACAGTCAAGAAAGTTTGTGTCAAATAGGAAGCAGAATAAGTATCATCTTCACCCTGCCAGTAAATGCATTGTAACTAGGTCTCAAAGTGGATCTCCAGCCCATAGGATTTTGTCTTGGTTTTTTTGACTACTCAACAGGCAAGGCCTCTAATCAATGTTGTGAACAAATTTCTCCATTTCAAAGATTTTTCGGGATAACCCGCATTGCTTTTCACAATTTCATCAGCATAAATGATTTTTTCGTTGTTTTCTCATTGTTAGGCTCTTCATAAGGCATATTTCCATTAAATGAGGAGTTCACTGAATATGTGATTTTCATTACATCAGAAAAAACCTCCTAGGACTTAGAAATAACTACGTTTTTAATAGCATCTGATAGCACCATGAGGCATTGACTAGGATCATGGCCAATGCGAAGATATGATCCATATGGTTCATTTATCATCAAGATAATCATTAAGAACACCTTCCTCATTTTCACCACTCTTAAGCATATGGGATCTACAAAGGAATAAACAATTAGAGAAATAAAATCAAACTTTGTATTCAAAGTTTGGGCAACTCTCTTCTGACTTCTACATATGCCATGTGAAATAATCCCAGACATACTGTGCTCAAAAGCGATACTTCGATACGACTGCAAAGAATCACCTTCCACAGGGTCTTGGAAATACACTATATGGTGTTCTTGCCTTCAGCTTGCCCAGTCTAACCTTTTCCCCCCAACTACTCCAGCTGCACTATTTAACATAGGACAGTAGGATTTATACACAAAAGGTCCTGTATGAATCAATCACAAAAAAAAACCCTTACAAAAACTAATAATCTTGACTCAACCCTGTGGTTGTTAAAGTAACCCCGAGGGGAATAAAAAAGCCAAATTTAGAGAAAAGGAAGACTTAAAATATTTTCTTTAACAAATGGAAGGGAGATAATATTAAGAGGAGACTGGAACAGAAAAGTGGAAAAAAGATAACATGGAAACTCTCTCTTGCTCCCAGCCTCAGACTTTCCCAACTCCTTTTGACTATCCGTGCCAGGGAGACACTGCTACTGCTTGCTTTCCTCTCAGAAATTCGAGCACTGGTATTCCACCCGGCTAATAAATTATGTATCAAGGTTAAGAACACTTTTTTTTTTTTTTTTTTAAAACGATAGTAATATTTCTGCCTGATTTTTGTAATAAAAGACCTTGGAGAAAATGTTTCACTTCACTTCTTGTGCAAATACCCTGAAAAATGAACCAAACAAAAGGACAGTGAAGCAGCATTATAAAAATACAGAAATTATTCAGTTTTTGAACTTTACACACATAAGCTGTCTGGCGGTAATATATGAGCAGCAATAGTGGTGTTAAAACAACCAAAGACGCCTATACAGACATTTGGTTTTTATTTTTATAAAAAAAGATCAGATTTATTAGTGCCAATGTATGTTCATAGTAAGGTAACAGAGACTAAGCTAATCTGAGTAGCAACTTACATCAAAGGGTATCAAAATAATATTTCTTGTAAGTGAAACATAATACTTCATTTAAACGTGATTCTTGCCAACTAGAAGTCCTTGTTATCTGTCTATGAAGCCTTTAAAGAAAAGTTGCTACAGTCAAACGGGGTCCTGGTAGAACTTGGCACATAAAGAAACAATTCAATTTTCACCCATACAATACCTCTCACTCCCCTGGAGTGCTCATTCATACAATACTTACATAATGCATATACATTATGACTAAAGCCATGTATGGCCTAAAGCACATAGAATATCTCAGTTCTAAACGTAACATATCTCTACATCAAAAGCAGGTCACTGTATTTACAGCAGATGATCTCGCTCTGCAGATGGGGGTTTTGCTTGAAGATCCTTTTGTTAGCGTACGCTAAGATGTCCAAGTCGTCAAATTATTTATCAAATTAGAGGTGTATCTACAGGAAGATCTGTCTGACCGTGTGCGAGGATTCTAAGGCAATAGTAGTAGTTGTTCCACAGGACTAGCGCTGCTGTTGCAACCCGCTCTCCCTTGGAGCAGTAAAGCCTTCCTTCACCAGATGCAGCCAGGCGTAGTGAGACATTCATGATCTGCAAGCTGTTGGCTCAAAAGTCTAAAACTTCTTGGTTTGTTTTTGTTTTTAATGTTCACGGAATAGCACCATAGGAATTCACTCTCGATAACAAACAAATCCTGGGTCTGTTGTTTTGGTTTGCTTTTTTTGCCATCACAGATACTCTTACTCCCTGAAAAAAACCTCTTTGGGAAACCTCCCTCTTGGATACTACTGCAGCTTCATTTCTGATTAGCTAAACCAGAAAATTAGCTCGTTCACAAAGAAGTCCGAAGAAATAAAGCTTAGTAGTGGTTCCAAATGTACTGCTAAAACCAAATTCAGTAGGAGGAGTTTCAGATGATCCTTGACTATTTCTGTTTCTCGTGGATACAGATTTTGATTCGGGACAGGTTTTCATCTCAGTCTCTTTCTATGTTCAGTGCAAAATAAAAGCACATCATCAGAGATAGCTTACTTAACTAGTAAACCAAACATTTTCAGATGCTTACACTGTTCAAATTCAGCCAACTAGTGATTGGTCAACTAGTGATGACCAATGTAACAGTTCAGACTTCTCAGTCATTAGTAAAACTAAAGATCAGTTATGTTTCAGAAGTAGGATTTTCCAGTTTCAAAACACTGATAACCTGATATGACAGATGAATTTGTAAAAAATACGGAACAATGCAGGAAGACCTTCCCATTTCATATCTTCTTTCAAGTCCTTGTACACACCATATGTAGGATACAAAGTCAAAGCAACTAGATATAAGGACAGTATTTTGAGTGTGTGACCTGAAAGAGCTTTTCCTCTTAGACACCATACAATTGTCAGAAGGAAGAATGGTCTGCAAGGTCACTTCCCCTGAATGCAACTGATTGAATCTGCACGCATCTATGACAAATATCAAACCATGAACAAAAGCTTTTATATTCTCCCTGCATGCAAAGTCCTTTCACAAGTTTTGCAGAGACAGTTAAGTATGGAGCCCACACATCATCATCTTGTCTATTCCACTGGGATAGGTGATTTTTTTTTAATTTATTTTATTTCTGTCTCTGGTCTTATAAGCCATCATTTCAACTGAACTCTCATAAAACATTTGTGCTAATAACTTCAGTTTAAAAAAAAAGACACGCCTTCCTTCCTTTCCACTGTGCGTTCTTTCTTTCTCACTCTCCTTTTCTGGCATAGAGGTTCTTGTGTTATTTTTTGGTGTGCACGCTATCTGGATATTTTATACTTCTGTATCGTATATGAAATCCTTTCTTGTTGATTGTATCATCAGTATGAAAATGAAGTAAAAGAGCTTCCCCTGCTGAATAAATTTCTTCTGGTGGCTAAAATAAATGAATAAACAAACAAATTATCTGTCCACTCTGCATATTTACACCCTTCATTCACACTTTTTTTCTTACGGATATTTCTCTTTTGTATTCAATTTTTATTGGGTATCTCTACAATCTTTCTTTATGAGACAAAGAGAACAAAGTTCCTCGTTCTTTTGTCCTTCCCAGATGTCTTCTATAGTTCTTCTGGAGTCATGTAAATGACTGGGCAGGACCATACACAATATTCTAAATTTAGATAAACAAATGACTCCAGTACCTATTTTCCATCTTATTCTTCATAGCCTTCATGGACTGTTTTATTACTGAAGCACATTGATCAGAAGTATCAGCTGAACTACCAAGTTTTTTTTCTAAAGTTAGTAATGTGTACTAACAGTGCCCTTTTCCCACTTCAACTTGGATTATTTTGCTTTCAATAGCTTTTCTATTTAATTCCATCTTTCCTATGTGCTTGCTTTGGAATGGCCTCTGAAGCCATTCATCCATATCTTACCAGAACCAAAACAAAACCACAACAACAAAATCCAACCATTCCACCTAACCCCACCTCCGCTCCTCCGCCCCCCGCCCCTGCGCTCTCCCCCTTCCCCCCCAAAAAAAAAAAAATCCTGAGGTTGGGTCATTCTCCAGTTTGCTGCCCTCCTACTTGTAAAATAGGGCAACCTGCAAAGGAAAGTATTGGTTTGTGTAAATTAGTAGCTGTTGAGCTCAGCTGTAGCATTTCCCTTGGAATATATTGCCTACAGTTCAGTGGTAGCACCTTTCCTGCATCTTTAAGTGTTCAAAAAATGCCCTAAAAGGATTTAAGCCAGCTTACAGGTAACTTGTCTGAATAACTGAGATGTTTGATACAGCACTGTGGCTGAATCCAAAAAGTATCACGCGGTTAATTAAGAGCTCCTACTATCTCATGTAGAGCCTTTCAAACCTTTTATCTAGGCAAAGAGTGCATGTATGAAAGTGTGCTTGCATTTGCACACATATAAAGAATTGATAAGGACTTGTGGGATCATTGCACCAACTTTCTCAAGGCAGGCAGCCAACAGAACGATGCAAGTCTAAAAGGAGAAATATCCTTTTCAGGATGTCACCTGGCCAATTTCCTCCATGTCTCACAGTTAAAACGTGTCAGAGATGCATTTGGGATGACAGGGCTTTCTTAAGATCCATGTTAATCACACAGTTTAGGAGCACTTTTTTTCCCAAAATCAGATTTAAGTAGTAGATGAGCATATTATAAATGCTTCCAAAGCTCACCTCCCCCTGCAAAATGTGGTTTCTTCATTCAAATTGAAAGAATTTTAATGTGATAATTTTCAACACCAGTGCATTTCTCTCTCTGTAGGGGAAAATGCTGTTAACTTTTTTTTGGGTGCTGTTAAACACTCCACTGTCAGCTACCTAAAGCTTAACATAAGATTACAATACTTTGGTCAAAAACTAGATAAGAATATTTATTGTTGAAAATATTTCAAGGGAGTGCTTGTACTACAAGTCTGCAAATTTATATTAAAAAAAAAATCTAGAGCAGATAATCTAGTATCTTCATTATAAGGTGTAGTAACTGAACCTCATCCCTTCTTGTCCCTTTTCCTTCCTCTGCCCTGTTTTTCTTTTTCTTTTTGTTGTGGAAATAAAAAGAAAAACTTTAGTACCTGGTTACTTACCCCAGATCCACAAAATCGACCGAGTCTCACAGCTGTCTTATCATGACCATCAAAGAGCTCCACATAATCATAACCACAGTCTGCCTCTTCTTCAACTTCAAAAGTCTGAAACATTAACTCGACTCGATAGCCGCGCTCTGCCACCAGGAGCCAGTCGCAGTCCGCCTGAACCGGGTAGTTATTATCGCCAAACTGAGCATGCGAGTACAGATCTTTGGGCTTGGTTTCAGCTTTCAGCCGACCACCACACTCTAAACAGAGGAAAAAAAAATAAGGAGGAAGAAGCTTATTCAGTGAAAATTAGCATTTTCTTTTCACAGATGCCCAGCCTTATTCAGGCTGAGTGCATTTTTATACCACAAGCAGGTCAGTCAAACTAGGTGTAGAGTGAAGTACTACCCAGTATGAATACAAATCCACCATTCTGAGTTTTTCCTTTATAAATTCTGTTTTATAACTACAGAAATTTGAGCATATTTCATAATTTTCAAGTGAAAGACCAAAAGGCAGGGGACACCAAAGTTGTAAGGAATGTGGTTCAAGAGGTAGGACATTCTTCAGGTAGGCATCTGAGAGGTGCCTGTGGCCAGCAAGGCAAGTGCTGTAAGCGGGGCATCCACATTTCAGTGGTGACAGCCTTTCCACATGGGTTAACGACACCGTTTGCAAGTAGCAGGGGAGTATCAGCTCTAGCACACATGTAGTCAGCGATCAAGTGCAAAAGTCTTGTGTTTCGTAAGAGTGTCAGCTTTAACCATTATACGGTGCCTGGAGAGCCAGCTCAATACTAAACACCACTGCCAAGCTCGCTAGCTTGTTTGCTGCATAGTTCATGGACGTGAACAGGTCTTTCTCTGCAAAAGAACATGGCCAGGAGAAAGCTGCTACTACCAGAGAAAGTCTTATAACTGAAAGCCTGCTCTTGAAGCAAGTCCTAAGCTGGAGACCCTTGCCCTATGCCAAAGCAGTATTTTCAGTATAAATCTCTATTTGTACACAGTAGTAAAATGTATGTGTTGTTTTAAAGCTTGTTTATAACTGCTTAAAAAGTTCATAATTTAAATATGAATGAACCTTACTGTATAGTCCAATTAGCCAGTTTGCTCAAGAACAGAAATTGCTGAAAATGCACTGACCAAAAAAAACCCCAAAACCAACAAACCAGCAGCTAGTACTTTATCCTTTCTAAATATTTTCAACAGCTGTAATTAAAACTAGTATTCTATCCTAAACAGCCAATGAATTCAGCTTCTACAGTAACTTAAACATGTAGGTGTTACGCATTTGCCAATTAAAAATTCTATTACAATGCAACCAGCCACAGATGGAAAATTGTACTTAAAAGAAAAAATGCATTGTTTATTATGTTTCCAAGAGATGGGTGGTGGCTTTTTTCTTTACAGCTACAAAGATTTCAATGAAAAGAGCATAATTGTGTTCTGGTTTCTCAAGAACAATCCATCCCTTATAGCACCCACAAAAACATCAAGTGCAAATGAGCTTGAACAAAAACCTGAGATGCACAAGTTTAGATTCAATTTTTATAAATAAATGAACAGATAATTCTATCTTCATTTTGATCAAATGTAGCTATAATAAAGTGATCATTTTATAATAACCTGAAACAAATTGCAAGATTCAAACATTTCTAAGCTTTGGTGAATTGATAATTTGAATTTGACTTCAGTGTCATGGACTCCACCCACACTAAACATGATCAATTGCAATGTTATATTGTAAGGAGTCACATCTCAGCTGGGAATTAATGACAGTAATGAGCAAATCCTTATTTTTTAAAAATGTGGTGTTTTTTCTTATTAAGAAAATGAAGAATCGAAGCAGGAAATATAAATTATGTAAGTAGAGTAATCAATTATGCATGATCTGTTGTTCAATCTGAAATTTCAATTTTTTTTTTTGCTTTTAAAAAACAGATAAGAGCACATGATAAAGAAAATTTATCAAATGAGATAGTTCAAAGAGTTATTTCTCATCGGTATTCCAATTTTCCCTTTTTTTTTTTCCTATTCTTGATTTCATTTACTTTCTTTTTTTTTCGACTGGACTGTTGCCAACAGTAAGAACATCTCCCTGCTTCAGACACAGAACATCTGCTAAGGAGAAAATGTTTAATGAACTGTCTGCATTTTTTCCCTCTGCTTGCTACAGTGGACAGAAGCTTAAAGGAAAGTTGTAGCCATACTAGCAATGGCAGAAAATGGCAACTCCCTTTCCTCTGCCTTTCTCCCATGGATTATAGCCTTATATTTTAGGATAAAGTATTGATTTTAGAAATTACAAGTCAAATTTTCAATTTGTTAAGGACTAAGTTGTAGTTTCAAAAGTCTACATCCAGCCTGCACAATGCAGCACTGCATTAGGCTGTGACAGGTCTGCACAGAACAGAGCAGTGCCACGCAGCTGCGCTTGCTTAGCCTCGATAGCAGAACCTACCTAGCTGCACTGACCATCATGCTTTCCACTGCACTGGGTCTGCTCGACTGTAGGTACGATGTACACATCTGACTGTAAAGAAATATGTCTGACTTGGAAAACGCTGTTGATCTGACAGCTTTAGGTGAAAGATTTTTTTCTAGATCAGCTAAGGAACAAAAAGCCCTTTCTTGTTTCCTGACCTTTCTAGGGGCTTTTAGGCTTCTTACAAACATAAGAGCAAATCAAACAGTAGTCTCTTGACTGTTTAACAAGCTGGACAGATGGGACAAGCTTAAACCCACGCTATCTGAACTAGTGAAACAAGATTATAAATTTGATTCAGCATTGCCATAATGAATTATTATAGTTATTTTGGAAGCGACACAGGATCCTAAACTGAGTGACATCTGAGATGCCCAAATTTGTCAGAGACATCCTCCCAGGGCTGGCAGATAGGAACAGGACCTACAGCAGACCTGCAAGCTCCTGCGGCAATGGCTGGAGGCCAGGCACCATAAATGAGGCCATCCAGAAGGGAACCAGATGCCTGTGTTAGCGTAACCAAATCACTCCCTGAGCAATGATGCTTAATGTTCTGTCAGGAGCATTTTGGGAAAATATAATAGAATCTCTTTCTAAGACTGCTGCACTTTAAAAACAGCATGTTATAAGTTTTGTTCCACCTAGGGAAGCCTTTCTATCCAATCTAATTTTTGAAACTTTATTGCCCCTGCTGCTACAGTTTTATCCTGTTTTTTGAAATATTCAATGGAAAGTTGGTATTTGGATAGTATTTCAAGCCAAAAAGTGTCACAGAAGGGAAATCAACATCATCATCAGGATCTACTAGAATAAGAGGCCATTAAATCATGAAGATGCCAGGAATACAGCAGCACAGGCACCTTCGGGCATAGGATCCCGTTACTCTTTCTCTGCTGTTATATTACACAGGTCCTTCTACTGAGTGAGTTCTGCCCGGAGGTCAGAAGTGAAGAGAGCAGCTTCCTCACCTCTCCCTCTGTCTGCACAGCTATGCAGGATTGAGCGCAACCTTGCCTGCTTCCATTGCATACCATCAGTTTTTATTTGCTAGAAAAAATCAAATAAGGAAATACAATCCACTGTCTATACACTTGTTAGATATCTATTCATTCACACGTGTGCCCAAAGCACAGAGGTAAAATTCCCATGGAGCATCTGTGTTTGGCTCAAGACTGCAGGAAAAGGCTACAAGATCGGAGTTGTCTCTCACTCAAAAGGTACCTCAAAGCACGTGCTGGTGATGAACTTTTCAACTTAGTGAGCAGTTTGTGCAACAGCAGTTGACAGAAATAAATGTCCTCTCTAATTTTTACAACGTTCTTAAAAACTGGGCAGATTCTATTCTTCAGATTTTCTCAGAAAAGCACTATTTGCATGCTAAGAATGTTTTTACAGTTAAGGCACTTAAAACTCAGCAGATAAATATATTTATCTCTCTCTTTCTATATGAGGGAAATTCCAGCAAGTCATAACATAACTAGCAACCTTTAGAAGTTAGGGAATATAAATTTGAACTTCTTTCAATATAATGACTGCTCCAATTCTGCAAATTAAAAGTGAGAAGAATAAATGAGACAGTAGTTTTACAACACCTGTTTCTAACAAGAGTTCTGACCTTTAACTATTTGCCCTGAGGTAATTTTAAAATGAGTCATTATTACCATTTCTATCTAATTTTCCATCTAAGGGAAGGGGTTACTGCGGTAGGGAAGGCAAACAATGGCATGCTTGTAGAAGAGGATTTCCCACAAGAAAAACAAATTGAATTACAGGTAGCTAAACTTTTCACTTTCCAGGCCCAGATCATGAAGAGTGAATAGTTCATATACCGTTGCCTACTGTCTTTCTCTGAAAGGGAAATTAAGTTTTAGAATTATTCTTAAAAAGCAGAAGGAAAAAAAGAGAAAATGCTAACATTGATATATGAGGATTTGCTAGCTGAACACTACACATCAACTTAATGAATACTCTGGGTAATACCAGATGGTATTAACGGTGACCAATCACCTTGATTACTATCTTCTATTAATAATTGCTACCTGTCAGTAAACCTTATCTACTAGCACAGATATTTATAAATATTTTCTGCATTAATATTTATTGCCACATACTGGATGAATAAGAATGAAAGTAAAGACAAACATTATGTCTGAAGAAGAAAACAAAAAAACCCCCAAAACTCCTTGTCTTACAGCAAGCACTGGAAGTTCAGAGATTCAGCACTAGGGGCCACTGTAAGCCAAGCAACTTCAGGGAAATAATGTACACGCTGTGAAAATGTCCCAAGAAATCTATTAATGTAATTGCAAAACACTATTTTTAATTTCAGTGATTTCTGCCAAAGAACAAAATTAAATGGTAAATGTGAAGGAGATTATCTTCTTACAGTCTTAAGAAAGTCTTCAGTATTGTTTTTTCTTATTTTTCTTTGGCTTGTCTTTCCTTTTAAGCTCTACAGGAAAGTAATAGCTGTTTACACAAGACCCAGACTTTTGTTTAAGTTAGAACAGGAAAGTAATGGAGGTGCATCACATGCCCCAGTGAAGTATTGCCATTACAAATACAATGAAAAGCTATTGAATCTTTTACAAAGTAATGGCATGAATCTTAAGAAATATCTCTTAGATTTTCTATGCCAATATCTTCTTTTTATCGGATTTTGTTTCAAAGTCTTTTAATCATTTACCTAGAAAATTGAGAGAGAGACACAAAGAGAAAGAGAGAAAGAAGGAGAAAGAAATGTCTAAAATACTAGAGAATACTTTCTGCAATCTCAGACTGTTCTTAAGGTTTCATTAGATTTAGTTGTAATATTGTCTTATCTGTTAACTCATCCCGTTCCTATAAAAGAAATGCCTGAATATCTTCGACTAAAGAACAAAGGGGAAGTTATTAGTAAAGCACATCCTGATTTTCTGACCTGTAGTGTGCGTTGCTTGGAAGCCTTTTCTTTGAACTGATGCATCAGAAATAAAGCGGAGAAACATTTTGTTGCCAGTAGCAATAAGAGGATCTGGTATCTTATTGCCACATAAGCGTCCCAGAATTGGTGATTTTTCACTTTCACCATCAAACACTTCCAAGTGGTCATAAGCACATTCTTGATGTTGTTCTATCTCAAATTCGTTGAAGGTCTGGGGGAAAAAAACCAAAATGACTCAATGTAGTACTGTATTTCCTGTACTTATATGGTACATATGTACTGATAGTATGTTTCAGAATACAAAGTAGATGTAGTTAAGATGACAGATTTTGCATTACTGCCCCTACAAGCCTGTAGCTTTGAATAACATACTGATTTTGAGAAAGTGGAATGATAATTAAGATAGTGAATTTTAAGAGGACATCATCCTTCATATAGAAAGGGATCAGAACCTTTATAGCCAGTGAATATCCATAACAGAATATTACATCTAGATTATTGTGACTTTTCTGCTGAATTTGTTCCATTTGTAGGATAATTCCAAATTTCACAGAACATTCAAAACAGCAGAAAGCAGGAAATCTATTGGTTCCTCAGATAATTGAGCACTGATTGAAACATCTGCACTCATACTGCCCCCTCCTCCCTTTTTTTTTATATTTACCTCACACTGCAACTAAAGCCTTCAAGAACAACCTTTCCACATGAATGGTTATACATGAAAGTTACATTTTCTAATCTATTATGTAGAGATCTATTTTTTATTATTACAACACTGACAATATTTCAGGCTGCACCCTTCTTGCTAAGATCACATACTTGCTAGCGAAATCATAGCGAAAAACAATAAAATTTTGTTGATTGTTTATTGAAAAACTTCAGCAGACTCTTTTCCTGTCCTCAGCTCTCCCAAGAAGATTCAAATTGCTGCCATAGTTTGAACACAGTGATCACAAACTTTACTTCGTTTCAAATCTGTGATGTTTCTTCTACACTTCAAAACATTTATCCTAGTTTCTGAGCTCCTAGGGATTCTCAGCCTCTCTTAATGCTCATGGCAGCTTGTAAGAACAAATTTGAGTCCATTAAAAATTGTAAATTGCAAGTGCTTCGGAGCAGAGCCTAGCCAACTTACTTTTTAAAACTTTTGGAATTTAGATTTCTCAAACTCAGAGTGTCCAACCAAAGGCATTTCCCAAAGATGTATGCCACACATACAGAAACTGCTAAAACACATACAACTAATACCTGCTTTTCAAATATGGAAGACTGTCTTCCAAGACTGGACAAATTTATTTCAAGGGGACATCTAAGAGATTTCAGAGAGGTCTTTTTGACCAGGGCTAAATTTCAACCAGAAACCTAAAGATAAAATCCAGTCATCTCCTCTTCTCAGTAAACACTGAGAAGGCAATATACATACACATCTTCGTGAATTTTCAGAAATAACCTACAATTTAAGGTGAAATTCAAAATCTGTTTTGCTCAACAAAATAGTATAAAAGCATTAAGTATAAATGCTTCCATGAGTAGACACATAGCTGACTGTTTACGAAAAACAAAAAAACACTAAAGGACTAAGAAGCAATAATTAAAAGGAATAAAACTGAACTATCAAATGCTGAGCAAATATCATAATTATGCATTCTACCTGGCACACCAAAGCAAATCTGACCTACCAAATTCCTTGTGGAATCCAGCCAGTGTGAAATGTGATGGTAATTTATATTAACAGCTGACCTAAAGAATATATAAAGACCTAACAAAGTCTTTTGCCCAAAGAACCGGAATATTCAGAATAAAACATTTGTTTTGTGAAAAGTGAAGAGTTGCATGATGCAGTGGATGTAGGTTCATTTCACAGGGAAGTTTGGGGGTTTTATTAAGCGAATGAAACTGCAGAGGCAGTGAAAACAGCTGTACAGCAGTCCCTCCTGCTGCTCTTAAATTGTAGTCAGCCATCCTACTTTTATGATGCCAAGTACGTGTTGTCATTTATACCCAAATAAAATCTGATGGATTAAAAAAACCCCAGAAAGCTGCGAGACTAACTGTAAGGGAGTTAGTTAAATATAGATTTGAGTCAAGCCAACTTGGAATCAACAGGAGCAATAGATGTGATCCAAGAGCAGGCTGCAGAACTTCGTTTTCTTTTAGAGGAAAATTGTATCAGTTTTGTTCAGTTCTCATCAGTACAAAAAGATCACTCTCTAGGAAGCACTTCTCACCATGAACCATAAGACACACCGGAAAAGCGAATCTTAAGTCTTTTAAAAGCTCAAAATGCCTAATATTTTAAAACACCCAGAGACGATCTCATTTTTTTAAAAAGCGGTCAGTTCCCAGCAGTGGACTAAGAACAGGCTTGAAAGAGGAGAACTGACACAAAATTTCCTTAAAGTTGAACATGACTGAATAGTTGCTGCTAATTTTCTCTCTATTATTTAGTGCCAACAGAGTTCACAGATGATTTAATAAAGTTCGTAGTATAATTAAATCACACTCCGTCTTCCTGGGACAAATACTTTTGAATACTTACCCCACCATGACTACAGTCCCCATTTTGGTTGTCTCATTAGTGGGAATGGTATTCAGAAATGTTACATACAGCTTCTGAACATCCAGTCCTTTCTATCTATAGCACTCAACTGAGTAGATACGTTGGTGGCACTTATGGATAGCTGCCTGAATGGGACACTTAAGTCTGTCTCTTATAAACATCCGGCTGATTAGCTTATGAAAATCTCTCTCTCTGCTACAAACATTTTCAAAGCCATCTTTATCTGCACATTTCATTTAAAAATTCTGAAGTGCATATCCATTTTTTCATAGGCTTCTTAATTACACCAAATGCTTAACTTTAGCCTTTTCAGGAAGAGACTTTTCAATGATTATCAGAGTGAGAGCAATCACAACAAAAGATTAGTTTCTGTACACACACCCCTCTCGAAAAATGAAGCACAGCCTCACAATTCATGTGGTTTGTTACCATGAAGAAATCAAATTTCTCCTTGTTCAATTTGACTAAGTAAACTGTGAGGACTAAACATAAATATGGTGTGAAAGTCCAAGAAAAAATATTTATCCATAGTGGAAGTATGGTATTAATGTTATTGATATGGCATCTTGCTGTACTAGACAGACTTTAAAGATATTACACACACAGAATTTAGTAGATTGACCCTACTAGCTTGCACAGAAAAGTGGATTTCAGACTCTAAATCATGGGGGTATTTTTGAAAATTCTATCTGGAAAAATTCTGTCTAATTTTTCCAATTTCCTTGGCAAAAGCCAATTTAAAAACCTTTTCTTTTAAAACAGACCATGCGATATTTCACTGAAGAAATCTGAATGCTGGAAGTTTGCCTGCTGAGGTTAAAAGTACTGAAAAAGCTTTTACAGTAACATGCCCATGCCTGGCTGGCTTTGGTTTATTCAGCCAGGATGAAGAAGGCTTGCTCAGAAGTGGCAGCAGGAAGGCTGCCTGAATCAAAAACCTGTTTTTCACCCTTTGAGTGGACAGAGTATGCGCACTACTCATTTTCTGCAACCTCCACATCCCCCAGAACAGTTTAACCATTTTACTTCTGGTCAACAGGGATCAACACATGATCCCACACCAGCATCAGTAACAGGGGTTATGGTTTTGGCTAAGGTCAGGAGTTATGACAATATCCCTTTCATCCCTGCATCAATATTGGCTATTGCTTCTACCTCTCTGAAGCAGACACATCTCTCTTCTTAAGTTTATTTGCTCCAAAACACTTGTTAAATCAATTTATCAGATTTTAAAATATTTAAGGCCAGTTTTTGTTGTGGCTGTCCCCTGAGTACTCTGGCTGAAGGAACACTGGGACTGATCTCAAAGCAGAAAAGCCCCCTGGGCAGATCCATGCCTTCGGCTTCATACAGAGGCTAGATAACCTCAGTAGATCTGCAAAGCTCCTTAAGCTCTGTTAGCCTGTCTTCAGCCACCAGCACTGTCCTGAGCCAGCTGGACACAAAGATCACTTAACTTACTTAGGCTGCTCTTCTACTTATGTTAAAATTTGGAGCCACTCTTAAATGAGAAGTCCAGATTCTTGGTTTTTGCATCTTATTTTCCTCCTCAAAAAGTAGAGAACAGAAATGCAAAAGGTGTGTGGAGAGGACTGTTCGTAACTTCTAATTTTGCTTATTTTTATATTGGAGTTTCCGTAAATGGCCTCTTCCATATTTGTCAAAACTTTGTGCAAATTTTATGAATTGCAACAATGATACAGTAAATTCTGATGGGAGAAAATTATTCCTCCTGCCCTTTGCTGTCCAGAGTATTTACAATCACCACAAACTTAAATTCACAGCTCTATGATATTGAGTAGCCAGTTGGCCAGGAATGGACAGGAGTCAGCAGATTTTTAAAACAGTTTACCTCTGGGCTGCAAACAGATAGTAAAGTTTAGTAACAGTTTTGTATTGTTGAGTAGTCATTTGAGAAGCAGGTTTGGTGGAAGAAAAGAGGAAAAGGAAGGGTAGGCAGAAACTCACCAATTTGACCCTCTGCCCGGGGGTGGCACTGATTTCCCACGTGCACTCCTTTCTACTGGGATACTTGTCGGGCCAGTTGGGACTCGTGATGATGCCGTTGGGACTGTGGATCTTCTGTTCACATTCAGCTGTGCCAACAGTGATAGCATCAGTTAGTCTGGGGGTCTGCATCCAAAGGTAGCCAGAAAAGTACTCTTTTTTGTCAGGGGACCCGCTGAAGGGAAAGGATCTTTAGGAAGACAACTAAGCACACTCTTCAGTGTGCATGATCATGTTCTTCCCCTTTGGCAAACACTTTATGGCAATTAACCCAGCATGCTTGTTTATTGACTGTTGTGAAACATACACTGTGGGTTACGATGGATGGTGCTTTTTTTGGAAAAAAATATAAAGGAGTATACATAAGTATTAAAATTTAATCAAATATTTTGCTATTCTCCCCATTCTACATACAAATAAGTATGAAAATTCATATGAGAAATCTTGCTACTCCAACTTCAAATGATATTTCTTGAACAATTTATTTTTCTCTCTTCTCGCTAATTTTCATACTGCAGCTACAGAGCAATCATTTTGATTTCTAAACCACAGTTTCTAGGGACGTATATACAACTAGAGAACAGCTAAGACTAAACTGTGAGTATGTAGCAAGAGCAGCTTAGTCATTCACATCATAACTGAATCACCAGAAGTGCACCTCTGTGAATAAATACAAAGAACTAAAACTTGAAGAAGGCAAGAAAGAAACCAGTTTCATTTTTGTATTTAGTTTTTTAACAATCTCAAATGGCTTTATAAACGTCAGAGAATTATTCAACAGGAATCTTATAGAGCAGGCAAGTATCATTCCAACACCAGTGATAATGCAAGTGATTCACAAAGAGCACATCTTTACTCGCAAATTAAATCCGTGCTAGAATACAGCCTTGAGAAATTACAGTAGCTCACATGATATTGCACACTTGAGGTTCATTTGCAGATAATCTAAATTCTACTTAAGCCCCAAAGCCTACTGTTTTCTTGGAGGTAGCCGCAGCTTGAGACAGCAAATAGGAAGAAAGATACGTAGGGACTTGATTGGAATTTAGATTGTCTGAATACGTTCTCTAAAATAAATTCAGAAAGGGCAGATACTGTTTCAACCTGACGGCGAGGAAACTAACTGCTACTGATAGAAGCAAATGACAACTTTACCAAGCTTCTCTCCAGAAACGCTATCCCTGTGTTTAATACAGCATTAGATAAATACTCCATCACGGCTTTAAACGTTCTACACTTCACAGCGCTATTAAAAATAGCACTCCCTGCCAATGATCCCAAGTTTTCCAAACTGCATTCCTGTGGAGCTCAAACTCAGCCACACAAATGCTGGGGATGGAGGGGTTGGGAAAGTGGGCTAGGGGAGTATTTAAGCCCAAATTTCTAAGCCCCCATTACCAAGATCCTTCTTTTTCCTTTCTTTTCCTTGGAAGGAGAGCTGCAGAGATCTTTCTGTAAGACAGTTGTATAATCAACCGTTCAAATACCTTACTACTTACCCTCCTTGCAGTCATGTTTGTTTTCATGTAGCACAAATCCATTTCGGCACTGGCAAACGTAGCTTCCTACCGTGTTGATGCACTCGTGCTGGCAGCCACCATTGTCCTTCGAACACTCATCCTTGTCTAAGAAATACACAACAAGGTTGGGTGAGCATCAGAGCTAGCAGTAGTCCTCGTAACCAAAAAGAAAAAGGTTATCGCAGCGTTTGAGTCCAGAAAACGATAAACTAAGACACAGTCACTCTTCCCAGTATGGCAGTTTCATGGTACCTTAGCTCTAGCCACTCATTGCTCAGCCTGCAACCTTGCACCATGGCACAAATAGTCTGTCTCATCTTTCTAGGAAGTGAGGAGTAGTTCCTAGGGAAGAGGAACACTAGTAAAACAAACAAGCTAAATCAAAGGAGATAAGACAGTTACCAGCGTTTACTCTTTCAAGTGACCGAGTTGGTAAAATTTCATAAATGTCTCATCCACAGCTTTATTCCAGTAAACAACAGGAGTGTAATTTATGGACAACACATAAAGTATTCCAACTTTATGCAAATTCCACAATTTAACGGTGGTATGTTGAAAGGAACATGAGGGCCAAACAAGGTTTCAAGCTCTGCACATTAAACATGTAAGAAAAGAAGTATTTAACATAAACTTTTTTTATAAGTTGATTTTTATTTTCCCAGCAGAGTGACAGTGTGTTTTACTTGTAATGAATCTGGACATTACAGAACGTCACAAAAAAAAAAAACATTTCATTGAAAAACATACAAAAGAAACTAGCATTAATTATTTCAAGGAGATCTACAATATAGCATGCGGTTCTGTTTATTAACATATAATTCTTTAAAAGAGCTTTTAGTGTGTTAGAAGTAAAGCAGAGAGTAGGGGAGGAAATATGACCTGCATTAAATAGCTACAAATTCATTGCATGGAAAAAAGCCAAACTAGATTAACAGGCTGTCATTCTAGCAAGAGGCCTCAGCTGCCACCCTTCTATGTCATTCAGCTGCTGTCATTTTAGGTGAGGCTGGTCCATTTAAAAAGGCAGACTGCTCCTGACATATACAGATATATATACACATACATGTATATACGTATGCATATGTATATACCTATATATATGTATAAGTGCTGAGATATATAAATATATACATATATATACACACACACACATATATATAAAGCCACACACACATATTAAAAAGCTACATCTTACAAACTGTGTCATTTCAACATGCAAAAGAGAAGAGGAAAAAGAGAAAAGAAATTCTGGTCATCCCAGAGGTCCAGTTGTTGCAGGGCTGGAATGCAGAGCATGCATCCCCTTTAGCCTCATGTACCTTGGAAAGCAGCAGTGAGCGTTATCTCCAAACAAGGTAACATGCGATGTTTCAGAGTTTAGTAGGCACAGTAAGAATTTCTACAGATTACAAGCCACTATGGATAATTAAAGCCTCTTTTCGTGGTCTTACTTAAGTATTTTTTCCCCTGCCTTTACTGACGCTCATGTTCAGTAACACAACAAAGGAAATTTGCATTATAATTGCATACACATCAGCTTTATCTGCCAAAATGTATGCAACACTTGACCTATTGACTTGCAGTTCTTTCCATAAAAATCAGCTTCTGCTTACAATACATGATGATAATGTACATTTATAGATAAATTCTGCAAGTCAAACCCAAGCATCCACTGCATTTTGTCCTGTAAATCTCAAATCTGTTTGCACTGAAAAGTTTTTGGAAGCTTTCTGCAGATGTGAACAGATTTGAAGGTTAAGAAACAGTCAAAAACACAGGTAGTTCCCAGAAACATACATCCAAAGGCTTATACTAATTGTCATTTTGATGATGAAAGAAGCATAAAAGCTCCAAAATTCACTGTTTATGCACCTTGCAATGCAAGTCCCAAACTGAGGTAGTAAATCTATTTAATTTCAAAAAAAAGTTTTAATCTTTCATCTTTGCAAAAACAAGCACTATCATAAATTAATTCCACGTTGCAAGTGAAGAATAGTAACAAGCAAATGAGAAATTAGATATAATATGAACAAAACTCTTCAATATTTCCCCTCCTAAGCATTAGTTTGTAGTTTTCTACCAAAACAACAAAATAAACGGAAGGCAAGCTCAAAATGCATTCAAGTTAGGCTTTCAAGTACAGAGTAGGTACACAAATTCTGAATAAAAGCTGTGTCCATTTTCATCTTCCACCAAACTGTGTGAAAATACTGAAAAGTATTTTAACATTAAATAAGCTTATATTCTATAAAATAATCTCTTAAGAGACAAGTACATAAGCAAACAGTCCCATGTTGGACCTCCTCAGAGATAAAACAATGGACAGAAAGGAGAAGCTTTGGAACATATTTGAACACAACAATTACTTTTACGTGATTAATCAAGGATGCAACTGTTGAACCAGCCTTCCTCACACTTCCTAATTCAGAACAGACTTTCTGTCAAATTGATTGCCCAGTTTCAAAATTCATGAAAAAACAATTAGTCTGTATTAGTTATAGGAACAAATGTTTTGCCATGTAAAAACAAAGCCATTTGTTATGGTGACAGATGGAAATGAGTCTCCCCATTTTGAATGGATACTTTCTTTCTTTTCTCATATCAGTACTCAGAACAGGGAAAGATCCATTCTCAACAAAATGTTAGATTGAATCATTCAGAGGACAAATGGTCGTACCTCTGAGACCCTCAGAGGCCACCAGTCTGTGAATAATACGTACTCGGCCTGAAGGGACCTGTATCAAGTCCTTGCAAGATTCAAAAACAAAAATTTTCTCTTTGCAGGCAGCTTTCTTGTCTGTGGAAAAAAATGTACCAGGATGGCACCAGAGATGAGTTTGTGCTCCAAAACAGATTTCCTCGAGGCTAGAAACACTCTAGCTTTCTCTTTTTAACTGCTCAATGAATCATCACCCAAGAAAAAAAGTCCCAACAAACCTCATTTCTGTATTACATCAAACACCATGTATGTTTTGAATGATCATGCAAAGAATCATATTTATTTGAAACACGGAAGTAACTCTAAAACTTAAGATAAACGGAAGCAGTTTCGTGACATATTATCACTGGGTATTAATCATACCACTACACAAAGACCGATTTAAAGAAATGATTATGCTATCTTCCTGGAAACATCACAGAAAAAAAAAAAAAAAAAATTATTGTTATCTTTTTCCCTCCCTAGAGTAAATTCATGGATTTATTTTACACTCCTCTAGTTTTTCGGGCCCAGCAGACTGCATTAGGTCTTCTGACAAGAGCAGAAGAGAGGAGGACAGAAGAAAGAGAGAGGGAGAAAGAATAAAAACCTAATTACTGGAAGCTTTTAGTTTAGAAGCCTAATATCCAATTCCAAAAAGTTTTAATAAAAGTTTTAAAAAATTAATATATCATGACTCCCTAGTTTCTTCTTTTTATCCAAGAAACTCAATTATAAATATACAGGAGTGTCTCTGGAGATTAGCTAGATCCCTGCAACAGCTCCCAACTGAGTTTTCTTCAGAACTGTCCCACCAAATGTAAATTTTTCAGAATGTTGAAAAAAAAGTTTTTCTCACTTTCCAGTAGCACCTGTCTGGCTGTTAACACCATTTTACAGCCAAAAATGTAATTACATGTTGCCTTATATCAACATAAATACCTTCCTAATGCAGGTCATCTGTTGCCCTATGTCACTGTTTGCCTTCACAGTTTATCACAGCAGTTTCCAACCACCCAAAAACTGCTTTCTGTCATCTGAGCTGGAGCTGGGCCATGCTTTCTCAACTGTAGCCGTGGCTGCAGAATTCACCACCATAAGAGTTACAAAAAAAGTTCTTTGGCTGTGCTTTGTGGAACACGTTACTGTTCCTAATCTTCAAACTAATCTGACTTATCCACCTGTCTCTCTTGCTGAGCATTGTATATGCCCTTTACTGGTGAATAGACTGCAAGATGCAGTGTTTTACTCGTTACTGATTTTTTCACAATATATGTCTTTATAACTAAATGCTTACAAATATTTCTATTGTGATTTAATTAATAAAGCTGTTAAATGACTTCCAGCAAGTATCTTAGACACTAGCACTAAGTATTTCTCCACAGGTATCATTCTAAAAGTAGTGTGTTCTGAAGACAAGCATATAAATAGGCAAAAAAACGCACTTCATTAGCTGAACAGTGATCAGCTATCAACTCCCAAAGGCAAAATACTTGAAGTCTTAAGTTTGTTCTTCATTGACAGACCAATAGCATATTATGTCCATATTAAGGAATTCAGGGTTAAGAAAGTTATAGTGTTTTCTGACAGCCATGACAGTTTTGTCTGATGAATTATTCAGAGATGACAACTTCTTTTTAGATACTTTAAGTTCAGAAGTTTGATTTGTCTGAAGCATTACAAATTTTTTGTTTTGATGAGGAAATATTGTCAAAAGGGGAAAGCCAGATAACATAGAAGAATAGAATCTGCTAGAAATTATAATAACTGGAAGAGAACTGAGAAAGAATAAAAATAAAATACAAAGTATCTGAACTCATATGAAATGAGAGAAGAGATTATGGCAGAAATGCATTATGAAGCATTCAATAAATTTATACACTTACAGACTAGAAGAGCATTTATATCAAACTATCTTTCCTTGAAAGGGATTAAATATATACTATATCCAGGACACATCACACATTTCTATTCATTAAAAAACACATTAGTTCAGACTTATCCCTGGCTAATGAATTTATTCTAGTGATTAATGGCATCATTTAAAATTCATAATTTTTAAATTACCGGAAAAAAAACTGTTTTCACTTGGGGGAGGAAAGGGAAGAACATTTCATTCAGAACTGAGAAAGACAAGGGAAGTAATGGTTCTGAAGGATTACAGCCTGGTGCTCTGAACTCCATGAATTACAGTCTAGTCTTTCCCCAACTTATAACATTGGCCTGATTTCTTCCTAGAACCCATTCATAATATTAGTAAATCATTTAAACAATCACTAAAATAAATAAATAAATCTGTTAAAATGAGCTATCACTTTAAAGAAAAGCAAAATTTAACTGACTATAAGTGTATAAATGTTCAGCATGTCCAGAAAACACAACTTCGGAACTACAGAGCTTACACAAATTACAAAGCTATTTTCAGAACTGGAAGATGTCAATACTTATTCTTGTAAAAAGTCAAAATATGTGACAATTCCT